GGGGAAGAATCTTGATTCTTTGCCATTTCTTATGAGAAATATGTACGAGTGAGTGGTTGTTTCTCTGTTTAATCTGAGTCATTCATTGACCACATACACAGTGGGTAGAAGTGGTGAATGAGTGTTGTCTATTACAGTATCCCAGTCCCCCATCCAATTTCTCTGCTTTTTGCAATAGACTTACTGCCATTGACATTACGTAAACATCCATGACCTTTTCTTATTGTGCACAGCCCACACAAATCAATATCTTGTTGAAGTTCATCTCAGTTAAGTTGTGAAACACAAACACCCAGCTGTTAAGAAAAATCTATGTACAGTTGCTTTAAATATGGCAATTTGCATTAAATTTCAAATTCAAATTTCAAATTTTCAAATTTTCAAATTTTCAAATTTTCAAATTTTCAAATTTCAAATTTTCAAATTTTCAAATTAGTCTAAACGCTTCCATCCTTTATATTTTGCTTCCAAAGAACCAGACTTGATCTATATAATATCTTTATAATTTTTAAAGTGGTCTTCATCAACAGTTTTCCAGGCTTTCCGAAGACCTTTCAAAAGTTTACGTTGGAGATTGGCTGCTTTTTCACTCATTTTCATTCCAGTCATTCTACCTGACCCTTTTCAGAGGAATGTTTCTTTTGTTGTTGAGCTACTTTTAAATTTCATTTTTAGGCACTGTTATACTAGCCTGCCACAAAGGTGCATAATTTGTTTCCTGTGGACACACTTTGTAAAGGACACACTGCACAGTGTGCCAAGATCTGACAGAACCTGAAAAATGCATCTGGCCCTTCAGTTGATCCGTCTACTGTTCACTGAAGCCTCATCAGAAATGTCATGGCTGTCAAGAGCATTTCATAGGGAAACAGAAAAAGATTCAGGTATGCCAAATTACACAAGAAATGAACTGAAAAACCGCAGCGATCCGTGTTACGGAGTGATGAATCTAAATTTGAAATGTTTCATTCATCTCTATTCATGTATGGAGGAGGTCAGGAGAGAGGTGCAACAGTGAGTGTTTGAAACTGTCTGTAAAAGACTGTCATATTTGCCATTTCTTATGAGAAATATTATCTCATATAATGTCATATTATTGCATTTCAGCCAGCGGTGTTGTCAAAAATCTATTGAAGTATGAATGCAGAAAAGTGATATCAAATTTTGATGTTATTCTTATGAGAGCTATCTATCTATCTATCTATCTATCTATCTATCTATCTATCTATCTATCTATCTATCTATCTATCTATGTCTTTTTTGGTTTGTTTTTCCTTCACAGATTGTTCACAGCAAACTCATTTGACCTGATTGATGAGGATGCATTTCAAGGTTTACCACATCTTGAATACCTGTAAGTAACTGTATTTAATTCATGTGCAGAAAACATTTGCGTGCTGTTGTATGAAACACTGTATCATAATTGCATATTTTTTGTATTAAACAAATATGAGGCACATGCTGATTAATAACAACACTATGTGAACCTGTGCGGAAATATTGCACTCAAAACCTTACTGTAGTGCATGCTTGGTTACATGATGGCATATAAATCTATCTGAACGATGAGGCTTTCCCCATAAGCATGTTTACACTAATGTTCCCTGTTTGGGTGCTCCATCCAACTACAACCACAGCTAGTTAAATGGCTGAAAACACTTGTTTGCATTTTGAATGCGTTTACAGTATAATTTACTTTGACATGTTAGTGTTTTACTAGCCTTAGCGATCATGTAAAACTCTTCATAGCCTGATTGCAGTAAACATCTCATCTTCTTACAGGACCACAATAGATGTCAGTATTCATTGTGTGTAGGATTTCATGACTTACTCTCATTCATTCTGCT